GTTGTATTATTCTGTTGTTACTGGCTGGTTACATTTATAATTTAAACTTAGGTAAAACACATCCTTAACCCTAAAACTGTGGTAAAACATGGAGTAACTAAATAACTTGTATACACAGTATTACCAAACAATGTTGCCTATACTGAAAAGGACTCGGAAGCTGGATCTCTTTGGAAGATTAGGCTCCAACTTCTCCAGGAATGGTAAGGAAGGATACTCGTTTGATCTTCTTTCGGCGATAAAAACCTGAAACACACGCAGCCTAACATTGTAAACAAAATTCCTATTGCGTTCACAAAGATCTTACCTGTAGTTTAAAGATTAGATAAATTCCGAAAATACTGTGCTACAAAGAGACTAAAAATCCGTGACAGTCGGTCTACAACAAAGTCCCTGGATGTTATTTAGTTTTGTCCAAATTACCTGCATTGTCAGTTGAGTTGGTAGCACGTGGAACTCACATGAGCTAAGTTCGAAGCACTTCGTGTCAGGATTGTGTTGATAAAGTACTTCATATTTTGTCAGGCCAAGATATATCTATTATTATTGGAAAATATAAAATCTGTTGTCCTAAAAATGACGTTATTGAGGTTTATTGGTCAATGATGAACTCAGATTCAACGTTAAAATAACTTAAACAAAAAAAAATGTGTTTATTAAAATTATAAAATATTTTTGAAAGAACGTCATCAACATGTGAAGTAGTTTAAAAAAAAAGCAAACCAAATATTTGTTTTCTAATATATCTATCTTAATGCCATTATAAATAGTTAATAGCATTTTCTCTGTGGGATGGGGATTCATATGTTTCTAATATATATATATTTTCATCATGTTAAAAATTAGGATACATTTTCCATCTAATTCGTTACAATTATTTAATTTTTTTACTATTTGTTTGTTTATTTATTACCAGTTTTAATTGATTACTTTTACAAATTCTTCAAATACATCTTCACATTTCTTCATCTTCCAAATCCAACCTTTTTCTTCTTGATTTCTTTCCTCTCTAAACTAATCTGGCCAGGTGGTTAGGGAGCTCGAATCCCCGTCCCACCAAACATGCTCCCCCTTTCAGCCGTGGGGGCGTTATAACGTTACGGTCAATCCCACTGTTCGTTGGTAAAAGAGTAGCCCAAGAGTTGGCGGTGGGTGGTGATGACTAGCTGCCTTCCCTCTAGTCTTACACTGCTAAATTAGGGACGGCTAGCGCAGATAGCCCTCGTGTAGCTTTGCGCGAAATTCAAAACAAATTATACTACCACATTCGTTTTTCTTTCCTACATTTCCAATCTTTCCTACTCTTCCAAGTTTTTTTTTTCTTCTTCTATGAATATTTCAGCACCTTAATGTGGTCCGTGATTAATTATATTTTATTTTTTCTCGTTCTTTCAAATATTTCACCTCTCCAATTTCTATTTTTTTATCATTTTTACAGAGATAGTTCCGTTGACTCGAATTCTCCTGGATATTTTGTTTGACCTTATCCTCGTTTTTTCTATATTTCTGTCTGTTTAATTCTTAGATTTATTTCATCTTTAATCCTTTTTTATCACTTCTGTACTTCCAACACCATCATCTCTATTCCCTATTTTAAATCCCCCTTATCTCCATGAAATTTTGGACATCTTTTTAACTTCGTTCGCGTTATTTCTGAAACTTACCTCCAAGTTTTATTCATACACTTTGTTTCCCTATTCGGTCTTCGTAATTCTAACTGCCACATGTATGATTCTAACTATCGTATCAAAGAACTTAATTTTCTGCTTAATATCGTTCATTCCACTTCTCTTTTTTTAAATCCATGCTACATTTAAAGCTCTCCGCATCATTGCGTGTAGCTGTTTCATCTGCTTCGTTTCTAAACATACAAAGTTTCATGGAGGTGCTTTTTTGCGCCATCTATCAGGAAAACAATAAACTGAAAAGCATGAAAATACCATCCTAAATTCGACGATGAGGAACCCACTTTGAGACTAATAATGGTTGGAGACGGCTT